AAGGCCAAGGGAGAGATGGTTTGGTGTGGTGGAGCAAGCTACGAGGACGGTGGATGTGACTTGAGAAGACGCTCAGGGTGGAAGGCGCATGAAGAGAGGTAAACTCGGTTTTCAAATTTGTCTCCAACAACTGTTTTATTTTTGCAACCTTTGCGGAATGTGACTTTTGTTATTGCTGTCGTTGCTGTTTTTCTCAAAATGATACGGCAACAAATCAAAGTGTCTGGTCTGAAGAAGAAACTGTTTGACGAGTAAATTATGACCAGCTTTGAATTGTGGTTTAAACACGTGGAGTGCACAACGAGGTGTAGAGAGGTGCATGCTCAGAATTGGACAGGGCAAGGCCGTAGCTATGGAGTCAACATTAGGGGGGACCAAATCTTCCAGGGGGTCTAGCCCCCCCCCCCAGAAAAAAATCTAAATTTAGAAAACAAATTTCCTGCGATTTCCTGCCTAAAATATTAAAAAAATTCACTAACACATGGGATGGACTTTTTGTTAATTTATTTTACAATAATGTCTAATCGTGTATTGTATTGCATTGCTCTGTTTTTTTCTTTTTACCTTTTCTTGTTTCATTGTATGTAATGACAGAGATTAGGGATTTATAAAGTGCAACCACAACCACAATCATATAACATAAATCTATGCATTGTTATATGAAGATAAGTCCAGATATTGTGGCCAAGGTTTAGCAATTTTTTATTTATTTACATAGCATATCGTTTTTTTAAAATATTGTTTATAGCAATATATTGGGGGGACATTTTGAACATATTTGAATATTGGTGGGGGATGTGTCCCCCCCAATATATATTATAATTGCGGCCTTGGGACAGAGACAAGAACAGGAACGATTTCAAACTAAACAACTGTTTTATTTTACCACGTTAAGGCCCACTGAGCTATGTAGCTCTTTTTCAGAAGTGACTTGGCCACAAATGACGGATTATCATGGAGAAATTTATAGCAGCCAAATAATCCAAAAGCATGTTGATTCTAAATGTGGAGGGAAAAACCGGAAGACCCGGAGAAAAATCCACACGACCTTGGGGAAAACATACGAACTCCAAAAATACAGGCATCAGGCTCGGGATCGAACCCACAACCTCCTTCGTACCAGGCGAGGGAGTTAACATCCATGCTATTTACAACGTTTAGGCTCTGCTTTGATAGCAGCTGAATACTAAGTATGTGCGTGTGATCGTTTTGTTTTGTTCACTAACACCGCGCTGTGCCAAGTGTTTGAAAGCAGATGCTGTATTCGACGAGGCTGGTTAGTCGTTTGTGGTTATCTTTATATATGGCTGCTATAGCTGCGCAATTACAAAGATCGTACAAAGCAAGCTAGCAACAACAGAAATGTGTTTCTTTGTAAGATCGATGTTAAACAAAGCATGGCCAGACAACCATGTGTCAAGGTCAATTGCTGACCTACAACAGACCCATTTGTCAACAAGAATGTGGAATTTCCGCCAACGTCACACGGCCACAAATGAAGCCGAGTGATGTCTCGACGTTTGTTGAAGTAACACACCGCATTCCCACATGGACTCACGTTTACACGCGCGGACACACACAAACCGCACAATGCTGACACACAGACAGCAAGAACTACAAACTACATTGACGTGTACTATGAGCGACACACTGCAGGCAGACCTCGAAATCGTTTCCTCCCAATCGGAGCCGAGTTAACGTCCATGGGCATAGATCTTAGCTCTGCAGAGAGCCACAAGGGGGCACCTGTGACTCGGGCACGCAGATATCACGGAGTTATTGAACTTGATTTGGAGCTTTCGTGACTGCAGGAATCACTCTTTGGTTCTTTCGGTAAAGTCACGTAGAAAGAAAAAATGAATTAAATAATAGCATACGACGTTTCGATTGCAACACAAGCAATCATCATCAGGTACAAATGAAAGAGAAAACAAACCTAGTAAACTAAAACATATATAATGCAATACAACACAGAAAGTCGACTAGCATAACATTGCTTGTGTTGCAATCGAAACGTCGTATGCTATTATTTAATTATTATTTTCTTTCACCGTGACTTTACCGAACGAGCCAACGAGGAGTTATTGAACATTGTTATACCGGCAACGAGCACTGTGCCGTGCGTTTGTGTTGCTTTTGTTGTTTTCGTCTGTCTAGCTGTGTTCACCCGCTGCTCAGGAAGGGACCATTACAACTAAGTTAGCATCAGGGCCGCCACCAGAGGGTGTCTGGAGTGGGTCCTCACAACATGACCACAAGGGGTCTATAGCCCACCCAAGTTCACTCTCCTCCTAAGCGCTATGCTTTATATCGTCACAGTGGTGAGATGTTAACTATCTCGCCTGGTATACAGGAGGTCGTGGGTTAGAACCCGAGCCTTGGACGCATGCTGCTGCTGTATATTTGGAGTTTGCTTTGTCTCTCTCCCCGTGGTCGCGTGGATTTTTCTCCGGGTCCTCTGGGTTTTTCTTCCATATTTAGAATCAACGTCACGCGTTTAGCATTTATACATTTCCACACCACTAGCCACTTCGTTGAGCTATCATCTGTGACAGCCAGATTGCGTCTGACAAAGAGTTATACAGCTCAGTGGGCCATAGCTGGTAAAATAAAGATAATAAAAGAGTATAGTAGTAATATGGCGGCCCCCCACACACCACAGTTCTCCTACTGGCCCCCCAAATGAAGACGAGCTGGAGCCGGTCCTGATTATCAAATTAACCTTATGGCGGGACCCCGGGGTCCCGAATAAATGGAAGTCAAAATCGAAATTAAATTAGTTATTTTTGGCGACTTCATTCCACCGCGCACACAAACGCCGTGACCCGTCTGGCGCGGATCGTTTCGTTGCCGTGTCGTGTCCAAGCGCAGCGGCGAGGACGAATGCGCACAAGAAACAAAACTTTGAAACTTTGATTAGCGCGTCGTGTAGAGCTCGTCGAGAGGAATATATTGCCGTGTCGTTCGCCTTAAACAGACATAAAATTACGTCACAACGCAGTTTTTGCGAGAGCCGGGGACTTATGGGACCCCGGGGTCCCGCCATCAGGTTCATATAATTGACACGTGATAACCTTAGTAGAAGAGTACTATGCTCTCAATATGAAGCATGTATCGTGGGCGTATGCGTGGATCAGCTGGTGATTCAACGCGGCGGTGGAGCGAGCGGCTCGCAAACGGAAGGCTGCCAAGTTCAAATCCCGAGTTTTTTTCCGGTTCATTAAGCTCCTAATTCCCCACGGGGGGTCGATAACATGAGGACCGATTTGTGTGGGAAGCCAACTGTGGCCATCCTATGGGTAGGGTCGCGCCCACAACAGTCACAACGCTCGGGCACTCCACCGCCCTTCCTGTGAAGGTCTCCTGGCTACTTGTGTGAGAAGTTGGGATTGTGGTCTGGGATGCTGACCTAATAGACTCGTTTCTCCGCTGTGATAACTTGTTTTCTTCATCATGGGACCTCCCTTGCCAGTATCAAAATATAAGAATAGCTTTTACCCTTTCTGGTAATAAAACAGTTGTGTTGAGATGTTAAAACACCAAAATGAAACCTTTTGCAAGGAATCATGTCCGCACTGATGCTGGCAAGGGAGGTCCCATTATGTAGCTGCTCGTTCCGAGCTCTCAATGCCCTGAGAGTGGCATTGTCTTTGTGCTGTTCGCCTTTTGGAGTCCTCTGGTCGAACACTGTTTGTGAGACGAGGCTCTAAAGAAAGCTGTCTCTGGTGTGGACCAATCAGTTTCAAAGACAATGCATCATATACTACCAGAGTTTATTTTTTGTGTTTGCATGTTCACCACAAGTATATGTGGTTAATGTAGACATGATTCCTTGCAAAGGGTTTCTGTTTGGTGTTTTAACATCTTAATACGGCTGTTTTGTTGTCAGAAAGGGTAAAACCTACTCTTGTAAACTTGTTTCTTGTTTGCGCCTTTTGTTTTGGTGAGATTTCTTCATACTCTTTGTTTTTTTCGGTAAAGTCACGTAGGTAAATTAAAAACAACTAAATTAAATGAAAAACCACTAAATTAAATGAAAAACAACTAAATTAAATGAAAACAACTACATTGAATGTAGTTGTTTTCATTTATTTAATTTTTCTACCTACGTGACTTAACTGAAAAAAAACAAGAGTATGAATCCTTGCAGTCACGTAAACTTCAAATCTAGAATTGAATTTTCTTCATGTTTCATTTATTTTAGATTTCCTGAGGGTTTTCACTTGCTTGGTAGTAGCTATATATAGGAATTGGCCCTTATATATAATTAACGTACAGCGTTGTGGGATGCAATTAGCATGACTGACACGATGTGAAATTAAATTATTATTGTTAATATCTCCTGCACTGACACGGTGGTGTAAAAGGGAGGTGAGCGCCAATGCCCCAAGGCTCATTTGAGCAGCATGAAGTGACCGAGCGAGTGGGCGCCCCTTCACGAGAAGTCTATACGACTCTCCGTCCTGTGGATCGACTGCAGTCGAGTCTGGCGTGTGTCGTGACGCTGGCCAGCGGAGTCGGTTCGAGAGTCAGCTGGTGCGTGGGTAGCCGGCAGAGGTCGCAAACGGGTTTTGATTCCTTAACCGTATCCGTACCCGGCCGCACCAGGGTCGCAAAAGGGTATCCGTACCCGGCCGTACCCGTACCCGGCCGGATAGGGTACAGGTATCGGGTACCTGATTGCGACCTCTGGGATGAAGCCATGTTGCAGGCGCAGGTGGGTTGATTCTAGGAACTTGAATTGTGAGAAGAGACAAGACGTTGGGAAATGAGTGACAAACGGTTCCTCACCAGTGACTCGCGGTCTACCCGTACCCGGCCGCACCAGGGTCGCAAACGGGTACCCGTACCCGGCCGGGTACGGGTAGCCGGGTATCGGGTAGGGTACGGGTATCGGGTACCCGGTTGCGACCTCTGGTAGCCGGGCGGGCGGGCGCGTGAGGAGCCGGGCGGGCGCGTGGGGAGCCGGGCGGGCGGGCGGGCGCGTGCGTGTCACTCACTGCGCTGCAGGAGACGCGTGTCGGTGACGTGCGCCGCCTCCGTGCTGGAGATGCCCAGGAAGTGCAGGTCTCCCAGGTGAAGCACGGCCGACAGCACGAGCAGCAGGTTTTCAACGTCCTGCCGGAGGCAGCGCGGGCGAGAGAGTTAGCGAGCGCCGGTCACGGACCGTTCACACCCGACGTGCACGGCCTCCCAGTGAGCGCTGGCGGATTCTCTGTCAACGAATGCTGGGCGATCGGCGGTGCACAGCCGCCTACGTAACTGTGAAAGGACAGCTGCGTCCGCACGCAAGGAATCCGCACGGTCATCGTTAGCGGCGAGCCGGCGAGCGCGCGCTACTCGGGAGAGCTGCCTGTCAAGGAGCCAGGCAAAGTCAAGATTTACGCTTCCGCTCATCCTTCTCCTCCTTCTATCTGTGTTGCTATGAATTGAGTAGCCGCTCTAATTGGAGGCTCAGCGGAGCGTGAAAATCCCTCGCTACCCCCGGAAGTCGTCCGCAGTGGACACGGGTCCACGGTGCCGCTCTGCCCTCGCCGTGCCCCACAGCCGCATTCCCTTCGCCGCCTCCCGTAAAGAGGCTGGCAGCACTGGACGATCAAACGTACAGCCAGGTACGACGCGATTCCCGATCCACAAATACGAAGGCGACATCACGGAGATACACTCAGCTGTTCCTGGCGCGGTTTTCTGGTTTGACCGACTGAATGTGAAATTGTAGTTGTCGCTCTGCATCAACAACAGCAGCCGGACGAAAGAAGAACACCAGATACGGCCATGAGAGGGCACAGAGTGAGCGTGCAAGGGAAGGGTGCAGCGCTGCGATTGCCCGCTCGTGGGTATTTGGCCTACTCTTCTCACGCTGGCCAGACATCCTGGAGGAGGTGGACGCGTCGACCGCTTTATCCCACTGTGCACGACCTACTGGGGTGAATCTGACTACACTGCTGGCTGCTGGGTGGGCACAGGCGGCGATGGGTGGTTTATGAAACTTGCACCAATTGTCTCAACTGCCGTGCCGGGAAATGGAATCGATCCGGCGACCTCTTGATTGCAAGTCCATTGCGCGCTGACCATCACATCACTCGCTAACCGTACATTAAAAGATCGCGCGGCCAATGTGTTTCTTTTTAAGGGGTTTCACATGTGATTACTTCATGTGTTCTCACCGTAACAGAACATATTTTCCACTTTTGGCTATACTTGCACGGAGGCTATTCGTAATGTTCCTACGTAAGGATTGTAGATTTTATTTTTGCCCGTACTTTGCTCCGCAGGATAGCCGGATCTTGAAAATGACCTCACAGCTTGTAATGTCTTCTGCACAGCAGACGGTGGCACTTGTACAATTCCCCAGACACTTCGGGGAAAATAAACCTTTCACCCCTTGTAAACTGACTTTGTGGTACACGAGCTCACTGCGAGGCAATTCATCAGCGATCGAAGGCAGTGACATATTTTTTTTCTCATCCCCCTAAATGTGGAGCGCACTGCGCTTAACGAAGAGCGATCCCTTTTATGGGGGAGCTCCTCGAGCCCTGCAAACACAAAACGTCGCCTTCCAAACGCGATGACGATGGTCAAACTTCATCTCCCTCTCCAGCCGTCATCAATCCACTGCTGGACGAAGGCCTGCCCAATCCTCAGCCCACCGCCTCCCGCGATCCCGCGAAGCGCTAATCCACCCAGCACCGGCGCACCCGAATCAATATCATCACTCCATCTCCGAGGTCTGGGTCCTCTCACGAACGTAATTATCTGCCGGGTGGCAGGGGAGGGCCGGGAGGGCAGCCAGGCAGACAGGCAGGCGTTGTTATGGCTGCTCATGGCCAGGGCTCACTGGGCTGTAGGCAAAACCTTCCGAGCCATTCGACTACCATCTGCCTCCCCACTCCGCCCCGCGTTCCACACCATGGCCGTTGCCGGCCAGAGGCCACGGAAATACAGCGGGGAACGAACATCCCTGAATAAAACCCCTGAACAATTCTGCAACTCAATGCGTTCTGCAACGCATTGGCACCGTTAATGGGCTGTGTGCGCTTTCGATCCGGGCCGGACGCGGGCGCATGATCATATCCACACCCTGAAGCGAGAAATCGTCGCGGCGAACGCGTTCACCGCTCCGGCGGATTTTCTATCGGCCCTCTTTTTACCATCCATCAGTGGAGCTCCCCGGGGGGGGGGGGGCGAGGCACACCAGGGTGGATCAATGTGTCGCGGCCACTCCACTATCTGCACTGCGCACCACCGCTGAGCACCCCCACCGCCCTACCCGCCCTCTCCGGGCCTCCTCGTCCGTAGCCGGCAATAATAATGAATGGATTCGTCCGGACTGCCGCGGGGGAATAGCGTCTGTGGCAGCACGCCGAGCCCGTGGCTCCGAGATCCGGGGGGGGGGGGGGTTGAGGCCACGGCGTTGACAGCTGAGAAACGAGCGTGGGCTCTCTGGCGGCGTGAAAGCGGTTGCTGTGCTCGGGTTTAATAACCGCAGGCCGGCCAGCGTGGATGGCACACTAATGCAAGGGTCCACCACCACCCCACCGCCCCCCGTGTAGCCTGTAACAGACTGTAGGCGCGAGTGCTGTTAGCGAGCAGCAGCAACACCGATGAAGGCCGGGCATGGCACACGAGGGGGTGGGTGGCCAGCACCACGCCCGGCCGCCTTTGTCTCCGAAGTGGCGATGTTTACTACACACCGCACCGGGTACTCATTGTGAGGCTGAGTCGACCGAGGGGAGGCCCAGGACCGGTCCACCTTGGTGGCCATTTCTACCCCCAAAACCACCCCCAGTATTGACTATTATATTGATTACTACATTGACGACTATATTGACTATTATATTGACTACTACATTGACGACTATATTGACGACTATATTGACTACTATATTGACGACTTTATTTACCCAAGAATGTCTGTGTGTAACGCGTGTGACGTCACTCCACGTCGACCAGCCCCCCTAATTAATAATCATGAACGGGTGACGTCACTCCGCAAGAAGAAGGTGGAGCGGAAACGAAAATTTGTTTACGCAAAACAGCTTTCATTTTGACCTTTCTTCATGGAAAGTAAAGCTAATAAAGAAATCAAAGACTGTGTGTGCGTCCTGCGCGTGACGTCACTCCACATGGGGCAACGCCGCCCCCCCCTCATTAATAATCATGAGCTGAACAATTTTTCTATTTAATATTTCATATTTACTGCAATAAACACCCGTCCTTGGACGGGCAAACAAGCTAGTTGACTTATAAAATTCCCCACGAGGTGACGGAGGAGATATAGACAACATCTAGAACTGTAGCGAGATGAGAAAATGGGACAGATGCAGGGCAGAGAGATACAGACAAGAGGCAGACATGGAGTCAGATGAGACAAGCCAGTGATGATAGATGCATTAGCTCTTGAATGCTCATTGTGGTTTGAATCTGAGCTGGGATTTGGTTCACCCTGAATGTTGTTGCTTGGGCTCCTGAGGATCCCCTTACATTGCTCATGCCCAGCGCCCCCGCGAGACTAGGAGAACACAACGCCGGCAGCAGAGAGAGAGAGACAGATGAATATTTTCACGCCACAAATTGACGGCGTCCTCTCTAAATCTAAAGTCGTCGGGGTGACGGCAACGAGAAGAGGCTGAGGCGACCGGTGACTGCGAGCGACTGAAGCTGACGCCACGCGGCAGGGGACGCTTCCCACTAGGGCTGAACGATTAATCGATTTCAAATCGAAAATTGAAACAATGCGATTAGCACATCGCAAAGGCTGCGATTTTTTGCGATTTGAAAAGTACTATTACTTTCTTGTTGGAATAGTTTTATTATTTATTATTATAACTTTATTCATTTAACTTAACAATTGTTCTATGTTTGATTGTTCTATTTCAGTTAAAACATTTTAAGAAATACATGTTGGAAGCAATTCATACATTCTTAGTTCTCGTCCTCGCATTAGAATATATAGAGCAGTTCATATTTTGATGGTATCATGTGGTAATGCTCCATCACATGTTTTTAATCTATTACACAGTGAATATTGAACTGAAGCTTGACTTTAAAAAATGTCATCGCAAATCAAATCGCAATCTCTGTCAGAAAAATCGCAATTAGATATTTTCCCCAAATCGTTCAGCCCTACTTCCCGGCAGAGGGCGCCGACACTGAAGCCGCGTCGCGCGCGCTATCACAGATTTCGTCAGGGTCGGGCACTGCCGATGCAGATAAGGGGACTAAATGTTGGCACTGGATGCATGTTGAACTCATTTCGTGCCGTACGTAGCCAACCGCGCCAATCGGAGGCGCGGTGACACCGGTGCATTGGAGGGAACGAAGATTGGTACTGAAGCCGCATAAAGTGCAAGCAATTACCGGCGCTGCTATTGAAGTTTGCCTTATTTCGTTTTCTACACACAGGCAGCCGGCTCGACGGGCACATAAATGAAAGGTGACACGTGCAGTCCTGCAACTGCTTCATCACACCGCTGCTGGCAGAAGAGCTTTCCAATGGAGAGCTTCAGAAAGCCTCTCTCAAGGGAATGTTGGCCTAATCGTCGGCTCTGAAAGGTCAGCATTGACCCCGGCAGGAGTCAAGGCCTCTGAGGCTTGCGGATGCTGAGAACCGTACGGTTATAATCGGGGTTTCATCTCACTCAGGTCTGACAATATTTCCGGACCCCTGACACACCACATCCAGGATACCACTCACATATGGCCGCGACTGCTGATCGGTCAACCGGTGAATCGGAACATATTCGGTGAGCAATGAGCTCTTGGTTGTGACTCGAGCGCGACACTGGTGGCTGCTGCTGCTGCTGCTGCACCGTGCGAAACCACCACACGTCTAGCACACGGGTCGGCAACCAAAATTACAAGAAGAGGCATTTTTTTCGAAATCTGTAAATAAAAAAACCGCAAAGCATCAATAGCCGCAATGCGCGTGAATACAAAGACGGTGGATTGGTCCTCAATAAACGACGTCTCACGAAGCGGTCCTTAAAGAGCCGCAGGTTGCCTACGCCTGATCTAGGACGCCCCCGCGTGAACGTTTCTCTGCACGGGTTTTTTGCCGACGAGGCGTGCGTGTGCGTGTGTGTGTGCGTCGTGGGAGGGGCGCGCGTACGTTGTTGCTGAAGGAGAGCGCCTGCAGAGCGGTCTTCACGGCGTCCAGCCTCTCCTTGTCGCTCGTGCTGGCCGTGGGAGTGCTGCCGCAAGTGCTCTCCTTCAGGTACCTGCCGTTCAACACAGAGCCACCGCTTCACTGCCTAAGCCACGCGAAGGGCCATCGCCGAGGCGGCCAGATGGTGACCACCTCGCCTGGTATACAGGAGGTCGTGGAATTCGGTCCCGACCCTGACGACGCCTCTTGTATAATTGGAGTTTGTGGTGTCTCTCTCCCCACGGTCGCATTTATTTTTCTACGGGTCGACCGTTTTTTTTCCTGCCGCTATTAGAATTTACATGCGTTCAGAGTATTTGGCTGCTATAAATGTTCACGTAAGCCGCTTCCCTGAGTTATAATTCGTGGCCAGTGCACCTCTGCAAAAAAGCCATCTAGCTCAGTGGACTTTACCTGTTAAAATAAAAACATTGTTGGGTTTACTGTGTGTGCAACCCGTAAACATATGTCAGCATGCACGCTGCAAGGCGGCGCGCACAGCAGCCAAACCGACTGCAGCAGCAGCTGCTGTGATCTCTGGAGATCGTTGCTTTGGTTGGGTCCAGGGTTGGATTGTGCCACTGTCCAACCAGGCCTTGCGAGGAAATTGTTCCTGGAGCTTGGCCAACCCACACACGCTCACCGCAGTGTATGCCATTTGCCAGCTGATCGAGGTTCAGCTTGAAGTGGGGCCCAGTGTGTTATGGCCCAACTTGCTCCATCAGCAAATGGCCATTTGCTCATGGTCCAAAACAAAAGCTCTATTACCAATGGCTCTGTTCTGTCTCTCCATTCATAAATCATGGGTTTTTTTTAGTCTAACAGTCAATTGGCTTTCCAGACCAATATCATCCAGCGGCATTATTTAAGCAAGCAAACTCTGGACCAGTTACAGCCTCTTCAATCTCAATTTTCCTGGTTACCAGACGTTATAAATTATGGGGGCCCGTTCAATACAAAAAAGCGATTAAAAAATCAAAATATGTTCATATTCTTGGGTATTTCGGTAAAGCCACGTAAATAGATCAAATAATAAAAAATCATACAAATAATACCAATATCAGACGTTTCGATCGCAACACAAGCAGTCGTCATCAGGTGAGAAATATCTCGGATGACGATTGCTTTTGTTGCGATCGAAACGTCGTGATATTGTTATTATTTTTTATTATTTTATTCGTATTATTTTTTATTATTTTATCTATCTACGTGGCTTAATCGAAAGCTTCAAATCTATAATTTACTGAAAGACCCAAGAATATGAATTCCTGCTGTCATGAAAGCTTTAAGTCAATATTTAAAATATGTTTAGTCCAGTGTTCTTCATTGCAAGGCCCGCGGGCCACTGGAGTCCCATGGTGACCTTTCATGTAACCCCTGACGTGCGGCCCCCGACAACACAGAAATAGTGAAGACACTAAATAAAAAAAATATATAATTGTTATCGCGGCATCTCTTAAGGAAGGCCAGCGTCTCGAGAAGCTGTGACTTCTTGTCTCGTTGTCTGTTAAAAACTCTAACAGATAGGTGAAATTCCTCTCCGTAGAGGGTGTTAATTCTAGATTTGAAGCTTTCGTGACTGCTTTTCGGTAAAGTCACGTAGGTAAAAAACCTAAGAGTATGAATCCTTGCAGTCACGAAAGCTTCAAATCTAGAATTAACACCCTCTACGGAGAGGAATTTCACCTATCTGTTAGAGTTTTTAACAGACAACGAGACAAGAAGTCACAGCTTCTCGAGACGCTGGCCTTCCTCAAGAGATGCCGCGATAGCAATTATATTTTATTATTATTTATTTTTTACCTACGTGACTTTACCGAAGAACCTTAGAGTATATATAGTGAAGACACCCCATCACCGTGTTGCTGTAAAACCTCCAATGGCTTCAAATGTGTGGGGGGCCCTCACGTTGATTGATGTCTTATCGGCAAAACTGATCTCCCCCCACCCCCCTCTGACAACCGGTGAAGAACAGCGGTCTTAGTCCACGACCTAACCACCTGGCCATGGCACAGAAGCGCACGGCTCGTGAAGGCAAGCGGCGTGACTTGCCGGAAGGACGCCATGTTGGACAGGTAGAGGTAGCTCCGCTCGTCGGCGGTGAGCCCGCCGGACATCAGGCGGAAGATCTTGAAGTTTCCCTGGTGCGCGGGCGCGGACACCAGGCGAGACTTCTCCAGGCAGTAGGCGAACACTCGGGCTGCGCGCCGCCGGAGGGAGACAACCCCACAAAGTCAGCCTCACGGGCAGGAGAAGCAGCGAGCGAGCAAGAGAGAGACGCCAATGAACCAGAACGTGTGTTTATACTGCAGGAGGAATCCGATGAGCTGAGAAGCTGTTTTTTCACAGATGGTCACGAGGGAAGAACGGGAGACGAGCCATTCTTCCCGTGGCTGTTGCTCCCCGACGTCTCACAAACACTGCGCTTTAGGCGGATGGATCATCCAATAGGTCACGTGCATATGTACGTTGAACTTATTTTATATGCGTACGTAGCCAACCGTGCTAATCGGTGGTGCGGGGGAATGACAACAAACTAAAAACGAAATGGTAAATGCTCCATGTATAGTTTGTGATAATAGGATGCGTTGTAATTTGCTCAGCGGAGCTGAAGGAGTGTAAGATTGTCGCGGGGACCGTTATGATTAAAGTAAACATAAACACCTTTGTTCATCCTTTCATTACTTTGCACGCGTATCTCCTCGCGCGTAATCACAAACACACGCACAGGTTTAGAGATGTGTATACAAGCACATACTCGTGCTCACACAGATAAGCACGTGTGCACAGGGTTGTATATACAACACACACATCGCCCTCACAGAGTGATGGGGAAAGTGCTGTTCACGAGCAGCCAGTCTCAGATCTTTCCCCCGCCGTGGGATGGCTGCAGGCAGATTTTTATTCATACATAAAGTGTAAATGCGATTCGCATTTCGCGTTGTTTTATTAATTCGTGACCCCGTAACGTACGTGCCAAAAGTGATCCCTCGCTTGACGCGTTTTGTCTCGACGCGTCGCTTTTCCAGGGATCGCGTCCTAAGCGCGCTGAGCGAGGCAATCAGCTCATCGCGCACGGCCAGCGCCAAACCAACGCAGCCACGCGCGGGGAGGACCGGCCCTCGGCACGTCACCGCCGCGGGTCTCACGCACCACGCCGGCCCCGCCTGCGGAGTCCGCGCAGCCGCTAATTTGCACGCGCACGGCGGAGCTTTGTCGCGAGCCGCTCCTGGATGCGAGGCTAACGGCCGCGAATTGGCGGGTCCCGAACTCCGCGGCGGCCGCGCGATGGGCCGGGTGAGGCTCGCCGCTAATTGGCCATCGCCCCCCGCGCGCGCTCCCCCGTCACGCTTCGCCGAGGCGATACCTTCCAATGGCAATTACACCGGCGTTGTCGCCGCTGCCAAGGTGCTGGTCTGACACGCGGAACCCATGGATTTCCGCCTGTACTGTATTTATAAATCTTTCTACTGGCGCTGTAATGTGTGTGCGTTTTTTTCTTTCTCATTGCTGTTTCTTTTCCTTTCATGCAGGACAGCAAGACGCAATTCTGACCACACCTTGCCCCCCCCCCCCTCCTTGCCATTGGCCCCGCCCACTGGTCCTAGGCCCCGCCCACTACTCAGGTATCCTTGACTCACAAGTCGCGTTTAGCGAGCATGTAAGTTGAACTTCTTTCGCACCGTACGTAGCCAACCGTGCTGATCGGTTGGCTACTACCCAGGTAGCCACGGTAACTTCTGCACTTGTATAGCTCCGCCCGTATACTGTGTTGAGCATGAAGCCAGGAATTAAAAAAGAAACATTAAAAAAAAACCTTTTTTTAAAACACGCTTTCATGAAATGTACTAAAAAGTTAAATAGTAATGGAAGAACTCCACGACTCCAGGAAGTGGCCCCGAAGCTTGCCATAACATAAGGGACCGTGGGAAATTACAGCCAACGTTAGTTGACCGTGGACAATTAGACCCAAGCCGAAACATAACATGTAAAAAAGAATGTTTAAAAATATATTTTTCATAATAGAATATAGTATTGTCATCAGTAAGACATAAGCATACCAAGTTTGCAGTCGATACCACATTGGGAAGTGGGTTGAAATAGAGTTACAAGATTTGAGGATACAACAACAACAACAATAGACAGAGTGAGTTACATGAAAGCGTGTAATAAAAATGTATTTTTCACAAACGGCTGGGGGCACCGCTCCAGCCTGAAGCGAGCGACGGCACAAGCTGGCGCACCGCGCACCTCCAACAGGGCGGCCGCTCCGCGCGTCGAAGTGGATCTCCAGGTGCTGCGAGAAGCGGCTCGACTCGGCGTTCACTGGGCGTCACGGCGTTGCCGAACGACTCCAAGAGGCAGCTCACCTGTCCGGCAACAGGCACAGCGTGCAAAGACAAAGTTCTCCCCCCCCGTATAGCCTCAATAGACCTGTGGGGCAAGTCCACATACACACACACAATCATGGTGTGCTCACGTGGCGCCTAAGCCAAACCCAATCTAACCAGGGATTTTCTCATCAGAATCTGGTAAAGACGAGTGAATTTCAAATGCCATTGTGGCTAAGGGCAGCTCAACACCTGAGCGATCATCTTCTTGGTTCTTTCGGTAAAGTCACGTAGAAGGGAAGTAATAAAATAATAAAAATAAAACATAATAAAATAAAATAATTCTCACGACGTTTCGGCTACAACGCAAGCAGCCGTCTTCAGGTGAAGAAGACGGCTGCTTGCGTTGTAGCCGAAACGTCGTGATAATTATTTTATTTTATTATGTTTTATTTTTATTATTTTATTACTTCCCTTCTACGTGACTTTACCGAAAGAACCAAGAAGATGAATCCATGCAGTCACGAAAGCTTTAAATCGAAACCTGAGCGATCAGTTGAGCAATCCAATCACTCTCACTCATCGCCTGCTTACACGAGGACATCTTCGGTTTGAAGAGCTCCACTTCATTCAGTCCCACGCACTACCGAGTTGCATGCCACTCATCATGAAGGCGTGCGCCTGACTTCCGAAGATGGCTGCGAATTGGGGAGAGCCTTCATCCAGCAGTGGACTGATCATGGATTGATCACGAGTCTGAGGGTGCGAGCATCGGGCTGGAATTTCAATTGTTCGGGTCGAGCGTTGGGCGTGAGTGCCGCGGTGCGGGGAGAGGAATGGAGACACACACTAAATAAGGAGTGTACACACACACACAAGGAATGGAGAGCTACTCTGCATCCTTTAGTATAAAAACAAGGGCGGAAATCAGGCATCACTAATTTAATCGAAGAGGGAGGCGGTGATAATTTCAGACCCAGGAACACAACCCTATTTTCCCCACGAGGTCGATTTATTTGTCGAACAAAGCTTTTCCTAACACGGCATTTTCCAGGAACGTAACCCCCCGCTTTCGGCGAGGTCTGCCCGCATAATCCTTTCATCCCGTTGCACAGCGCAACGCCAAAATGCCACCCGCCCATCCACCACCCTTCTTTGTTGTTCTTCCCCCCCCCCTCACCTCCGATTAGCACAGTTAGCTACGTACGTTTGTGGAAGAAGTTCAACACACGTACCAACACACGGAGAACCGTACGTCCGGTGCCGCACGCTCGTCCCGGTGCCGTATCAATTCCGCACGCAAGTACGGAATTCCCCGCAATTCCGAGCGGATCGCAACTTTGTTAAAACCGTAGTCAACGGAGAGCGTGCCGAGCTGTATCCGCACCGAGCGGTGGTCGCCAGCTTAGCGTGGGACGCGTTGCAGCCGCGCAGTTGAACATCGCCGGGCGCTTTCGGCCGCGGTGGATTCTCACTCGGTGCTGATTTTTATTTTCGCGGCAGAGCATCGGACGCAAGCACGCGGGCCCACTTCGCCTGCAATCACAGCCACCGCCGCCACTTGAACTTACACACGCGGCAATCTTGCCCTTTCACCCTGCCTCCTCCAACCCGAATTGCTTCGGTGCAATTTGAGGGAGATAATTAGCCACGGAGGGGGGGGGGGGTCCCTCTCTATTTGCGCGGTGCCCCTCCTGAGGGCGACACAGCTGCCGACGCACACGGAGGCGTGGAAGCCAACCTGGTCATAATCTAATCTAATCAACGCGTTCAAAAAATTAAAGGTTAAATGGCTCGAGGACTCTCCAGGAATACACCAGCACCCCCCCTCTCCCCTCCTCTACCGTACCTCAAGTGCGCTTACATAAGCAGCACAACAACACGCGACATCTCAACTCCCAACATTGAACAAGCAGCACACACGCCCCGTGCAGACACTGAGCTTCCACGCCACTTCAACTATTTGAACGGAAAAAAAAGACAAGGGAAGGTGAGATGGAAGGATAAAATTAACAGGTCTACGACAGTGGCTGGCATGGCGTGAAAAAGCGAGGGAGGGGGATTGGGGGGCGTTGGGGGGATGGGAGGATGGGGGGGATAGGGGAGAGACCTCCCGGCGGCAGCTTTCCTTGTGCAGTAGTGGTGGGTGGGGCGTCGGTGGGGGGTGGTGGGGCGTGGGGTGGTGGGGGGTGGTGGGGGGTGGGGTTACAGTCGCGCATGCTGTATGCGCTTGGAACAGGTGAGAGCACCTGCACCTTACCCCACTGCAACACGTGCACTCGCTACGGATCACTGTGGTTGTCCCCGTTTATACTGCAGGGTGGACAGACGTCGGTGACGCCGAGGACTTTAGGAAACTTGCGGCAAAATTAAAACGAAAAATTCTCCATCGCGGCGGTGCGTGGGACTCCAAGGTCTCGTTACGAGGCCATCGGCTCGCGATGCGTCACATTGAAATAATTTTAGCCATGAAAGCGAAAAGGGCAGCAGGGATCGCAGCATTCGTACGCCACCAACTCACGACAGACTGACATCTCCGCATTGCCTCCAAAAACTGTTCGCAGGCCGTTTTTTATTCGAATGGCCCGACCGAGAGGCGAGCTTCTTCACGTTGTGGGCGCGAGGAAGCCTCAACAAAGCGCTCGCTACTCCAGCTGACATAATGGGCAAAACCCCCCGCTATTTATTTAGAATATAATGGTGGGGTGGGGGCATTCTTACATTGCACGGTCCATCACAAGCGCGCGGCGTTTCACAGCGAATTTCGACCGTGACTCCGGCATGCCAATGGCACTACTCATTTTCGAATGACGTCAGGAGACCTTCAATGTCCGCAGTGTAGTAGTTGGGGCACATTATTTCATGATGAATACACCCGTGGCAATAACCAGGGTGGCCTGCTGGATTCGAACCACGATCCACTGGCACCGCTAGGACATGTCACCACCATGACCCACCTTTGTTTTCCCATCAATATTCATTTTATTATGTTGAACGTGACAACCTGTCCGTCATGTGAAGGTCTCTGCTGGTGACAGTAATTGGGGATCGCATTAGGTACGTCTCGAGTCGAGACCTTTCATCGGGAATGTTTAATTTAAGAGCGTCATTGTTACCCCTAGGGTATCATTACTGGGTGAAGGCCTGCTGAGGGAAAATGTGAAATGAAAAAAAAGGGAAGGTGAGCATAGACGTGTCTTTATATAGCCGGATAATTAGACGTAGATGTAATTTATAACCAGTTAGTCTGCATAAAGAATCCATTTGGATCTCACGCAGAGGAGTATGACTCTGTTGCTATTAAATCTTGATTTTAAACTTTCGTGACTGCAGGAATCCTTGCTGTCTCCTTGCTGCGTCAGAATAGCCTGTGGATGGTGATATCGCAGCTGCTTTGGAGATGCCTTCACGTTACCTCGAATCCAGACACTTCGAGGGGAACCCCCTTTCCTACACGCCCTGCAATTTAAGAAATCATTGTCGCTTGCTACAAAGCGTGGATGCGGTTAAATTACGGACAGCCGAATACCTGGATTCAACCCCCTGGATCTCAATGACGATGCTGTCTCAGTGTTTCTCTGACCCTTGAGCCTCTCCCCCCACCCCCTCCTCCAACATGCCATCGTAATATTCTTGGTTCTTTCGGTAAAGTCACGTAAAATGGAAATAATCAAATAATAAAAATAAAACATAATAAAATAATTCTCACGACGTTTCGGCCACAACGCAAGCAGCTGTCCTCAGGTGAAGACCAGGTCTGTCGGGAAGACAGCGAAAGAACCAAGAAGATTACGATGGCATGTTGGAGACAGCGTGTCTCCCCGACAGACCTGGTCTTCACCTGAGGACGGCTGCTTGCGTTGTGGCCGAAACGTTGTGAGAATTATTTTATTATGTTGAATTTTTATTATTTTATTATTTCCATTCTACGTGACTTTACCGAAAGAACCAAGAAGATGAATCCCTGCAGTCACGAAAGCTTTAAATTCAAAAATGCCATCGTAAGTTCCCGAACGGCCACTCGTAAACACTCACGTGTAGAAGTCGCGCGTGCAGCTCGGGCCCGTCCCCAGGCCCGCGGAGCAGCAGGTGCTGGGCGATGTGCTTGCTCGCCTCGCTCTTCCCCGAGCCGCTCTCTCCACTGACGCACACACGCAAAGACAAAGATCCCCCCCCCCCGTAAAGCCTCAACAGACTGCTGGGGCAAGGGGCCGTCCATAAATAACGTCACGCACCTAGAGGGGGGGGGGGGGGTCAGACATTTGTGACGATGTGTGACAATGGGGGTGGGAGGGGGGGGTGAGAAATGTGACGTCACATCAAAATGCGCAACTTTAAATAAATATAGACAACACGTTCTACTTAATTAAATAGACTTTTTAATAAACGTTTTCTCCTACAACATCAGGGTGCAGCGCCACATTAAACACGCACTACAATGACAATAGATTAAACGATTTGAAGCATGTTTTATATATTTCTTTGGGGGGGGGCAGAGCTTTGTGACGTCATATTTGAGGGGGGGGGGGTCTGACTTTTTTGTGACGCCGTGTGACGATGGGGAAGGGTAAAAAATCGTCCAAAATCGCGTGACGTCATTTATGGACGGCCGCCAAGTGCTGTTAGCGAGTAGCAACTATGAATTCCCGCACGCCACTCGACGGGGTGGGTGGGGCCAGCACCCCCATGCTGCCGGCTGCATTCATCTCAAGTGCTGATATTCACACACACCGCAGAGGGTACTTATTTAAGGCTGAGTTGACCTAGAGGAGGCCCAGGACCGGTTCAGATATTCGCCACCGTTGCTGATCGTGAGCGGGAATCGAACATGGGTCGCTCGGCTTGGAGCACTAACCATTACACTACCACTCCCCAGCTATGTGCAAAGAGTACACACACACACATAGATGACACCGATGTACTCTGTAGTCAAAATTAAATATGTTTACAGTCAGAGTGAGAGAGAGGTCAAGCCAGCGTCCACAGAGGACATCGGTCCTGAGGTATGACCACCTCCTGACACACGCATCCACAGCGCCACTCGTTGGCCAGCTGAGTTCATGTTGAAGGTGGGCCAAGTATGCAATGGACCAAATCCAGGACCAACTGACCGCATCAGCAAACGCTCAGTTCTTCTTTACGAGAGTCATTGTGTCACCCCATGGTACAACCAGGCGGACGCGGACAGATGCACAAACAGACGTACGGACAGACAGAGCTAACGCATTCATGCTTTTCAACTCTAGTTTTGGAATACGTTAATAACAAAAAAAAAGAACAAAAGTTCTTTATGGATGGGGAGAAGGGAGGATTGGGAGACCGAACATTGGTGGAGACAGCCGCTCAGAAAACAGCGACGATAACCTTTGCATTCGTTAGAGAACAGAGGAGTCGCAAGCGGCGTGGAGTGAGAGGCAAAGAGAGTGAAGGGGATGTGGTGCATTTCATCTTGGAAACAGCCTCGGTATTTCGAATGGGACGCTTCACAGAGGCTTTCGCAGCAGCAGCCGCAGCAGCAGCAGCCGTAATAACCCTTGGGAGAGCGTGGCTAGGGAGAGGTAGGGCTCGTCCCAAGATTGCATGGGTTAGGCTCGAGAGAACATAATTTACAAAGATAAGGGGGGCGAGATGGGAGGCGGCTTTGGGGGGCGAACATGAGCCAAATAGCCATTGCTGTGGAGGATAAGGAGGGCGGCAGGCAGTGAAATATTTCAATATCAGAGAGACGGCTTTGCGTTAAGTCACGAGCACTTCACCGCCGCCCCCACCCCACCCACGAGGCAATGCTCTCTGAGTTACTGCCGAGCACATCCATAGGCAACCCCTAAAAACATCACCCTCCCTCCTCCCTCATCGGTAAGCGGCTCCAAGCAACGACAAGCGTCACGGGCAACCGACTGCAAGATCCTCAATCATTCGCCCGGGATGCTGGTCTCTGGACGCCCCCAATATGTACATGTGTACGGTGAACTTCTTTCACACCGCACGTAGCCAACCGTGCTCATCGGAGGCGTAAATCTGCACAGCTCCCCGGTGAGATTTCGGGTCGCGGCTCGGTGTCGAGGTCTGACGTTCGCTCCACGTTCTGGGAGCTTCTTCAGGAACACGTGGGAGAGAAGCCTCGGAAGGGGCGATACTTCTTCAGGGAGGCCAGGAGAGATATCTGATCTCTTGAAGCTGCAGAGGCTTATTAAGGACGTCACTCAAATGGGTTTACGTTGGTAGTTGCATGGACCTCGTCACGGTTGGGCAATGGTGTATTTTCCTGTGTTGAGTCAAGAGAAAACTCCGTCTCTGCACTTCGACAAATGCCATCTTCAGGAACACACGTTAAGCCTTTGGAAGCAATGGGGCAATGCTTATCTTCATTGCTGTGGGCAGGAACGAGCATAATAATACTTTTACAAATTCAATAAATAAAAAATAACAGCCATTTGTGGTCTCCTACCAAGTGAGACAGAGAGGATGATTCCCACTAAACCAGATCTAGAGGTACCGTGAGCCGATGACACTTTTCCCTGAAAACTGATCAAATATATAGGCTCTGTTCGAGATCTGGCCTAGCAGGCAGGGCCCAGGTTCCCATAGTAACTCTACTGGGTGAACTAAACATCCATCAGGCTTGCGAGCAGCAGTACATAAGCCATCGATAGGGCCACCATTTAGAATGTTCCTCCAGGTGCCACGTTCTGTCAGGCCCTATCCAGACCTAGTCCTGGATAGGCAGGGTCCGTATCAAGTCACGTTTGTTGAAAGAAAGAAAATAACTCCCACAATTTTTTAAGAGTGAAAATTAGCAAAAAAACAGTGCCATTTCAAGCTCATTAACATTTCATAATTACACCGAAATCTGCGTTAGATGCATAAGACATCCCGAAGGGCAAGAGGTTTCCACACAGGGCCAGCTGCTATCTCCATCCATGCACTCCCACTTCTCAATTGCTGATCTCATAGCGCCCGAGAGGACAGTGCGCTCCCCTCCGTGAACGCTGCCCAACAAAACCTCCTCGTAAATCAGTGGGGTGTTGGGGGGGGGGGACACACTTCCCCACTCATTTGCAATTCAACCGTAGGCGACTTCACGTTCAGACCCAGAGGCCCTGCGCAAACAATCCTCCGCCGCCGCTGAAAACCTCTCCCTTGCGTCAACGCAGACATGGCAAGGGAAATGCAGAAATGCGCAACGTACTGGGCGCCCCGGCCGCTTCATTCGCAGCGTGTGGCCAACTCTTTAATCACACCCGGCGCGACTCGCGAACGTCTGCAGTTCATTTACAAATCATTCTTCTCCCAGCTTCCACTTGCGTACTATTGCTCGAGCCGAGTTAATATTTCAGACTTAATAAGCGCCGCTGAAGACTTTTGCACGACAAATAAACGACCGTCATTCAATTACCTGCAACGCACCACACACAATGCCCCGCAGTGACCGAATCCCAAGATGGATCGGTGTAAGAGGGGCACGTACGCAGTTCTGTTTGGCCTGATGCTGGTGCAGTGATCTCTAAGAGTACTAACTCTTAGGTTTTTTCGGTAAAGTCACGTAGGTAAAAATAAGCAATAACAATAAATAATAAAATGATAGAAATAATAATAGAAATAAAATAATAAGTCACGACGTTTCGGCCGCAACACAAGCGTCCGTCATCAGGTGGGACAACCACAGCAAGAAACAATTGCTGAAGTGAGCGATTTTTTCTTGTGTTGCGCCCGAAACGTCGTGATTTATTATTTTATTTCTATTATTATTTCTATCATTTTATTATTTATTTGTATTACTTATTTTTATTATTACCTACGTGACTTTACCGATAAAACCTAAGTGTATGAATCATTGCAGTCACGAAAGCTTCAAATCTAGAATCTCTAAGTGTAGGCAGCAGAGGGATGGGCCACCCGGCATAACTATACACCTGTGCCTCACAGCAGGAAAGACCTGGGTTCGACTCCTGGCTCAGTTGCCTGTATGTATGGAGTTGTTCTATGCTGCCCCTGTTATGCATGGTTCTCCTGTCCCTCCTATAGCTAGAAAACAAAACGTTAAATCTAACTGGTACTGACCAAAAACAACCCAATGGTAAAAAGTTACCTTTGCAATACTCAATTGGGATTCCACACCGGCAACGTTAGTGTCGACACTTGCTATTGGACTCTCTTGTGAGTCCAGTCCGATCACAAATTCGCGCTGATCACACGGTGTACGCTCTTTGGAACAACAACTGTTTAAAGCCAAAACTGGCTCACACTCAAGGATGGACCCTGAACATCTGTCGCTAACTGGTTCCAGGTTTGTTGGGCCAGAGACCCATACTGAAAAAAATGCTTGACAGGACCATTTTGAAAAACGAGTCTTGAGACTGAGTGAGGCTTTACTGGTTAAACAAGAGCGCTAATTTAGACTAATCAGAGCCAAGTCCTCCTACACTCTGCTCGATTCCTGAGGAGCCACCGTACATTGTACTGAACGCGTAACGATTCGCTACACAGCGCTGCCCACATTCAGTTAGATCATTACGTGGCCTAAATCCCCCAAAAATCTATTAAGAATCGCGCAACAAATTATTCATCTCGGGAGCAGTGAAACTCATTCAGCCACGAGCCTGACTAGGTGAAAGCGGCTTTAACATCTCGCAGCGGTAAACCGACGCGGGCAACATTTCAGTCTCGTTAGGGACGGTCGTTACTGCGCAGACTTGTTATGAACCCCACCGCTACGAATATACCTGCCTAGGGGGGCATTAGCCACAACGACTCTCTTCACCCAAACGGGAGGGCTTGCATACAAATTGGGCACTGGCACGCTCAACAATCCCATTCCCAAGACTAAATGAGCACAAATCCTGGCTTTACGGCCGTTCAGCTCTGGCCACCGCACCGAACGGCGTTACAATACAACGGCTCTTTCCCCGACAGAATCGCCAATTGCTTTGCCGCTTTCAAAAGGCCACGTGCTCAGCTTGTTTAAGCTGTTGACCCGATCTGCGAGCTGCGCACGTGTAATGCGTGCTGGTTTTATTGGCGAGGCTTGCGAAGCACCGAGGGTTTTTTTTTCGATCAAAATGCCGTTCATCGTCAACGCCTTCCGTCTGTCTTAACGTGTCACGCGACGGGCGGTGCGCACAGATACGCACACTTGAGTCATGTCACGTACGCAATAGAAGTAGTCTTCCCGTATTATAATGAGGACGTCAATTTAGATTCTCGGGATCTGCGTCACTGCCCATTATCGTATGATGTTCCAATTTGCCTGTGGTGGCGAGATGTTAACTAGCTCGCCTGGTATACAGGAGGTAGTGGATTTTTTCCCGACACAATTTTTTTTTGACCAGGTAAGGCCCATTGAGCTCTAGATATTTTTCAGAAGCGACCTGGCAACAAATAATAGCTCGAGGAAGTTTCTTATCACGTGGACATTTAAAGCAGCCAAATAATACTCTAAACGCGTGTTTATAAATACGGAGGGAAAAACCAGAAGACCTAGAGGAAAATCCACGCGACCACAGGGAGTATGTGCAAACTCCAAATATACAGCAGCAGGCGTCATGGTCGGGATCAGACCCATGACCTCCTGCATACCAGGCGAGGTCGTTAACATCTCGTCACCGTGGCGCTCCATTGGACAAAGCATTAAGGGGAGGATGCAATGGAAGTAAACAGCGTGGCAGGTTTTTGCCCAGTCGTGAGAAGTTACAGGCTGACAACAACGGCAACAAACTTATCACGTACCACTCGCCTGTTCTGGCCTATACACACAATTATTAAGGTTATTTTAATTTTAACACGTAGGCTTTCACGACAAATAATTTCCATAATAGAGGTTTTTGAGTTAGATCGCTTAAATATAAATGTGTTGTTAAACCCGACAGCTCTGTCTGTCACCTGGTGATGCAAGTGGTAATTACGTGGTACTCCAATTGTAAATGTTGTGGGTTTACTCTCCAACACACCGGTGTGCTGTACTAGTATTGAATTGGCACGCTTTGTTTACGTGAAAAACTTTAGTAATTGTCTGTGCTGGGTGGCGGCGGGTTTAACGACACTTTTATATTCGATCTAACCCAAACAACTCTATTATGGATTATTGTTATTTTTATTCCAGTGGATGTAAATTCCCATTGGTTGGGCTGAACGTTGGTTCGTATAACGCACGAGGACTATCGGCGCCAGTGGGGGGGGGGGGGGGGTCACAGCTCGGCTGGACGCGAAGGGGTGCGGGTGGTGAACCAGTGACAGCTCCCGCTGTGTGTGCCCACTGCCGCCGTCGCGATTGGTGGCTGCTGCAACATTTTCGCAATTCATGCAACGCCGCTTGCAATCCATTACCACCCAGCACTGGAAACACCTGCTCGCACCGCTGTGTGCGAACGTCTTGGAAATAGGCACGCGCGCACACAATCACCGCTCTCTCGTTAATGATGGAACTGGTTCAAGCCGATTCTTGTTGGTGCGTTATTATCCGGTGTGAAAAGAAAATTGCCCATGTCTTTAAACGTACACACACACACACGCACGTGTGGCACATGCAGGCCGGTGGCTATGCACGTAGCCTGTGATCCAACACTGTCGAAGCGGTGTTTGGTGGATCACTTAAACGTTGTGAAACTCCGTTCCCGTGGGCATCGAGGTGCCAGGAGGCAGTGGTACAGCAAAGTGCGGATTCAAATCATCCGAGTTGGAGAGCAATGTCCAACACATAAAACAATTGGGTACGACGTTTCACTGGTAGTTACAGCCAGCATATTCAGGCGGTTGCCAGAATTGTGATGCGCATGTTACGTACGCGATCTGACCCAAAAATCTATTATGAATCGTAATATCGGCCACAGAAGCCTACTACGTGTTAATTAAGCCTTTCTGTATCAGATGGTGCACCATCAATGCTTCTGTAACTCTCTGCAGAGCCATGCCAATCAGGCTATGGCAGTGAAGCGTGTAAATGTGCCGACGTAATGCTTCCTGCCCTTCCCCAATGATGCTTCACGGCATTTCCCTGGGTCAAAACTGCAAACACACAGAGGGCTGCTAGCCTCCATGTAGAAATGCGCAAGCGTTAGGAAGTTTTTGTGTGCTGCTCACAATACAGATTTTATTCATTTTCACACAACACTAATGCCGTTACATTTTCCACAAGACACACAAACGCAATATTTTCTGTCCCCGTTAAAATCCCTCTCAGTGCACGTCATTTATGCGAGAGAAGTCTCATAAATCTACGAGGCCTCGTGTTGCAACCAATCTCGCGTAAGATTTCCCAAAGGTGGAATAGAACCAGCATCGTATATTTTAATAAAGAGAACCTGAGGTGGTTTGGATAAGCGAAGGTCATTCGGTCCGTCTGGCTCGCACACAAAAGCCGTCTTGCTTAATCTTGTTTATAAACAGTATGTAAATATAAGTATGGTCAAACAACCTCCAATGAACATCACCCACATTGGCAGGCCTTCGTCCAGAAGTTGATTGAAAAACGGCCACGAATTACCCGTCTGATATTTTGAAATACATCCTTCACCGTCTTTTTGTTTTGGTGCCAAGTCTTTATTTTTTATTCATTTTTGATGTTGCCTGTCAGGAGGGCTTTAATTTGCTTGGTGTGTGCATGCGTGCGCGCATTGGGATTCTTTCATGGCGTAACGCAGGCAACCGCGTATACGCGATTTGGCCCTTGTATATATCTATCAATTTATGTACAACTTTGTGGGATGCTGTTTGCATGAATGACGCTGCATAGAATGAAAGTAATTCTTCTTGGTTCTTTCGGTAAAGTCACGTAGAAGGGAAATAATAAAATAATAAAAATGAAACATAATAAAATAATTCTCACGACGTTTCGGCCACAACGTCCTCAGGTGAAGAACAGGTCTGACATGTGTGCATGTCATTGGGTTTGTTTGTGTGTCTTTCCGACAGACCTGTTTTTCACCTGAGGACGGCTGCTTGCGTTGTGGCCGAAGCGTCGTGAGAATAATTTTTTCATGTTTTATTTTTATTATTTTATTATTTCCCTTTTACGTGACTTTACCGAAAGAACCAAGAAGATGAATCCCTACAGTTACGAAAGCTTTAAATCGAAAAATGAAAGTAATTATTATTATTATCACCGTAATTTTACGAGACGATGCGAAATCCTCAAGACAGAAGACAATGGGAACAGCGAGCGCGTCGGCCAGCCTTGAGCAAACGCCAAGGCCCCACGGAGGCATGGTGGAGAGCTGGATATTTTAATAGGACAACCCCGTGGCGCAGTGTGAGGCTTGAACCCCCACCGCTACCTAAATTGTGCTCTTAAAATGAACGTCGTTATACACGCGGCCTTACTGAGGGCCTCCCGCCGAGTGCTCGACACGAGAACGTGAAAAAATGAAAATCTACGGAAATAAAAAAAAGACATGGAAAAAAGACGACTACACATTGAGTGCAAGTAGGTGGAAACGTACCCATCGTGCGGTGTGAGGGCTTTACTGGTTTGTTAGTCACAGTGCCGCGTGTGCCTAGAAGTCGGGGCTTTGTCTCTCGTCGAATTAAACCCAGGGGGAGGGCTGAGACGTTAGGTGAAAATACAGCCCGGAATATAGCTCAAAACAATGATTTTTTCACCAATCTGGGAAGTTTTTGACAAACGGATTTGCCCACCGTGCCCTTCTGCCAAACAGATGCGCAGTGGGGCTAATAGTGGATTACACATACCGTCATCATTAAATTGCAAATACATTTATAACATTTTTGACATGCCTTTTTCTGGATTTTGTTGTTGTTATTCTGTCTCTCACTGTTCAAATAAACCTACCATTAAAATTATAGACTGATCATTTCTTTGTCAGTGGGCAAACGTACAAAATCAGCAGGGGATCAAATACTTTTTTCCCTCACTGTACCTACGTGTATTAATTCCTGCAGTCACGAAAGCTTCAAATCAAGATTATACTCTATTGTTATTGGGTTTTCACTGGTGTGCCAGTGTTTTATTTTTAATAAGATTTTTTGTTTGTTACCTTTGACGCACAGCACAGCGCTTTGAAACCGCCCATTTAAAAGGCGCTTCACAAAACCGAGTTTTTGTTGTTCCGATTATGATCTATGGAATCTCACCCGAGGATGAAGCACTGAGAGCGCCGCTCACGCAGCATCGTGTGGAACGCGCGCTCGGCGCAGGCGAAGACGTGCGGCGGCAGCGACGGGCAGAAGCGACCGCAGTGGCTCGAGTACAGCTGCGTGGCCTAGGCGGGGACAGGGCGAGGCACGCCGCAGCGGAGTTAACTCCCCGTTGCCGTCTCGGCCTTTTATTATTTCAGCCGGCAGAGGCCCCATTGGGCCGAGCAGCTCGGTTGCAAGGATCCCTCGGCAGTGGCAGCAGTAAGAGCCCATCGCGGGGCGGAGGGAATGTGGAAACTTAACAAGGGCAAAAACACCTCCAATAACATATACGAAACCCTTGCCAAAACTTGCTGCGAACAGGGTAAATAATGAACAGTGCTTAAATACAAATAACAAACGGTGTCAAAATGTCCTGCCACCGACATATGCAAATAAACCGTATATGTACAGCCTCATTTCATAACGTAGCTTAGTTAATGCATCTATGAGCACACACAGGTGGTCCTGCAGCATGGACTTAACCCAAACATGGCTCGGGAAGGTACATGTGGAGTATTTAGTTTGGTGGTGAGGACATTTCAGAATGTGGATGCTGTGTAAGAGAAGTCCGTGGAACCAGTCCGCGTCTTTTACCCCAAGCCTTTCGAAAAATTCAGCAACGTGCAAATCCATATGTGTTACAACTTTGGCCGCTTCTCACTGTTGGGTCCTAAGGCTTGTGCTCAGCAACTGTTTAAAATGAAACTAAATAGAACACAGCGCATAACATATTTCCAATCCTATTCCTTGTCCTTCTCCCGCACCCTCCGATGAGCACGGTTGGCTGCGTACGGTGCCAACAAAGATCAACATACAGACATCCAATTGTGCAGTTGACCTCCCACTGGCGGTCGCTGGCGCCAGGTTGGCAGAAGCAAGCGCTGAGGGCCCCCAAGCAGCTCATGGGGCTCCGGATTCAGAGTAAAAATATTACGGACACGCAAAATCGAACACTGATCTGGATTTTATCAACAATAAAACACAGCCACCAGTTCATGGGCCACCAACGAAATAATGAAGTGCCATCACCCTCAAATTAGTATGAGGTAGTACTCTTATCGCAATGCGCTATTGAAACAGTGGTGGACATTACATGTTCACAAGGCAGGCCAAAATACTTTTCCGAAGACAACTGTAAAAATGTATCCACAAAAGAATACCCATTTTATCAGTTCCAGAAGGATGATTTGGCGGTCAACTACAAACTGGGATTCAATTCAACATGCCAACCTGTGAGCCAAGTGCCCTGCCAATAGCACCATCTCGGCTGGAGCCACCCACGGAATGAGTCAGCCAGCCAGCACACATCGGTAGGTTTACCGCAACGCATTAAACATATATCATGCTGAAGACATCAGATGTATGCATACGTAACACAGAGTCACCGAATGCATGGGAAATTTGAATTATGGGGTTAGGGATATTGTGTAGGGACACAAAGATTAATGCATGGGACCCGTGCCATACCACTTACCATGTTCGAATAAATTGGGAGCTCCTTGCAAGGGTTCACAACAAGCAGGGTATCTCCGATGTACGTCTGCAATGACAACAAAAGTCAGAGCGTCGGTTACGTGATACCGGTAAACATCGCCACATCGCAGCGACGTCTGCTTGGCAAATGGCTCCATTGTTCCACCGCCGTTCCAGTGCCTCGCCCCTGACCCTACGAGCATTGCCCATGCAGCTCATTATGCTACTATCGATATACAGAAAGGAATTTGTTATTTACCATTCTTCCTGCAACTCACGAAGCTAAAGTACCACAATGGATGAGTAAATCACTGAAAAGAGAAAAATAAAAATACCCTCTTTCCAAAATACGAGTGTTTTGTTATTTTCAAAAGGTCACGACCTGAGCTGAAGGAGCATGCACACGCACGTGATGCAGAGAACGGCTCGGCAACCACTGCCTCACTGTCATCTGCGAGTCGTAAGACGACTAGATATTGCGCGAATGGCAGTGCACACACGGAGCTTGCTTTGGACGAGGCGAAGAGAGGAATGGAGAGACCGCACGCCAGCCATTGGCCTTCCATCCCTTGAGGCGGACAACCAATGGCAGACACGACCGCCAGCTCCTCGGGATACGGGGCTGGACTGGTCAGGGCAGTGGTGGACGGGGTGGGAGTGGTGTGCACGACCAGCAGTGGTACATATGTATGTTGAACTTCTTTCGCACCGTACGGAGCCTGCCGTTCTAGAGCGTAACTTGTTTATTGATAATATAATATTTGTATTCACGGCGCAGGAGTACATGTGGGAGTTAATGCTTTGAATGCAGGCCGCTTTCCCTCTTTCTATAAGTCAGCGGATATGAAGGTTGGAGCCGGGGAAATGTTGACCTGGTGAAACTGGGTCGGGTAGAGATGGCCAATTGCGGTAACTGAATTGTGATTGGTTAAGAGCTCGGCTCCAATTTCCCAGAGCTCTCTGGAAAGTTCCTCCTAGAGCGTTCTAGAAAGTTCTCTCTCTAAAGCTCCCTCTCTCGTGGAGGCACCTTCCGCCAGAAGTGGAGTGAGCAAGAAAATGCAGGGCTGCACCTTTACCTATTTAAACGTAATCCGTGCCTCCTAATATCCAATGAGCATAGAAAGGGCCACAGAAGAAAGCCGTAGAATAACACGCTCTCCGCGGCCCAAATTTATACGAGGCCGCGGTGCCCCATGCCAGCCAACTGCCGAGCCGTAATCAAATCTTGTAGCGTTAAATTGACATACCAAGGTGCAGTTACGGCCGGCTCAAAGCGGCAGGCAGGCAGCCCAGCGACAGTTTTACACTTCGGGAAGCTGGCAGCCACCACCGCTTGCAAGCGGGAGCATTCATCGCATTAAACGGCCGTTCAGCAACACGGGAGCATCGGGGACCGGCGGAATTCACACCGACTGGAATGCTACGATGGGCGACTTCTTGCGCACGATGTTCCGTGGGCCATCACGGATAAACACAATTCACTTAGCTTCTGCGTGTTATCTGCTACGGTGCGGATTAAGGATTTTTTTTATTGACGCTATACAACAGTAAAACAGTGCTGTCTGGATGTGCATGCACACACAGACGTCACAGCGAGATTAAGACCTTGTAAAAAAAAATGTTTCCGATTTCCTCGTCATATTATTTTAAAATGTTCGTGACTTTTGTTGTTGTTGATGTTATCCAAACCACAAATGTGATCAAATATTGCCGTACACAATCATCGCATCATCCACACCAGCAGCACGCCTCTCATGTGCCCTGTAAAGAGTAATGCGACGCATCAATAGAGCAAACAAATCATGGTTTCCTTCTCAAGTAACAAGACGCATGGATTGAGATGGATTTATTTTGCATGGCGAGCGAGCTAAGAACGACTCTGAGTTGACCATGCCAGTTGCACGCCCACAGTGCATCTTGACCATGTGCTTTTGTGTATTTGTGGTGTTGGAATAATCTTAATAAAATAACAATTTACCATCATCAATTAATTTTTACATGGCACCCACGTGGCAGGTGGGGGTTCCAGTTTGATCATCGGTGGTTTCCACAATTTTCAGAATCAGAATCTTTATTCATCCTGGAGAAATCCGATGAGCTATTAAGCTCTTTTTAATAGATGTCCAGTAAACCAAAGGGTCTCAGCTCAATAATCCACTAAACAATTGCAAGCGTAAACAATCATACTCTAGGTGCAATAGGGGAGGAGAGGGAAGAACCCCCATGGAATATAATATATAGTAATCATGAGAAACCTTTGACTAAAAAAAAAACATGATCTATTTTTAACTATTTGAAATTGTGGACGTATTTGAGAGAATCTAGTCATGGGAATTCTATCGTACAGTAGTTCTAATTCCTGCATTGTATACTGCTTGGAGGAAATCTCCTCTTATCTGCAACCATCTTATCTGCTGCACCTTTGATCGATTGGGGCTGGCTAAAATTGACTGTGTATTTTTTCTTGTTAACCGCAGGCTTATGATTGACTTTTTTACGTTATCTGTAGGTTCCTTGGACTTCCGGCAACGACACACGTGATCAAAAGACACAGAGTGACGGCTTAAGATTTTACATGGGATTAACCTACTCTGATCGCACATATACCATGCATTTACACAGATATAAACTAAACTCTCTGGTTCTCTTTGTAACGTCACGTAGATAGAAAAAATAACAAAAGAAAACACAACGTTTCGGTCGCAACACAAGCGTCCGTCTTCAGGTGACTCAGTATGGATTCCTGCAGTAACGAAAGCTTCAAATCAAGACATAAACTAAACTATTTTTTATTTTACCAGATAAGTCACACTGAGAAATTTAGCTCTTTTTCAGAAGCGATCTGGCTATTACAAATGATAGCTCAAAAAAGTGGCTTATCACGTGGAAAGTTATCGCAGCCAAATATTCTAAACACATGTCTAAATGTACAGGGAAAAACTGGAGGACCCGGAGAAAAATCCATGCCATCACAGGGAGAACACGAAAACTCAAAATTTACAGGCGTCAGGGTCGAGATCGAACCCATGACCTCCTGTATACCAGGTGAAGTAGTTAACATCTCGCCACGGTGGCGTCCTTATACGCGTGCACGAATGCCACCACGGGTGACGCCTGACCCCGGACAGGAGCGCGGTATTCCGCCAACGAGCGCGACATCGCGAATGCCGACGTTCATCGAGTTGGAGCTCAGACAGGCCCCCGATACGACAAGCCAGCGGGCGTGCCAAGCAAGTTATCTGAGTGTTGACTCGCAAGCCCGTCTTTATCGAGATGATCGCGGTAGGTCACCCCGAGCTAGACTGGGTGCGGGTCACGTCTCAGCCTCTGCCCACCAACGCTCATCGTGGGCAGCGCTGCTGGATGAGGGCCTCCCCTCGGCACATGGCTTGTGCGGGTTATTTGTTCAGCGCGGGCTGGCGAAGGCGTAATCCAACAATGATTTTCGCTGAATACGTTGGCATGGCTACGACCGCTAAGGTATCGCTGTATTCGTGTTGGTCGGCACGATGCCGACGTTGTCCCCCAAGTGCCGGGAGCTTTCGCTCGGCACCGAATTAAATTCAGAGAGTGAATTAACAAAAACCCGTCGGAGAGCCACACCGCACGGTTGCTACAGCGCCCGAAACGTGCGTCAGCATTGCCAGGGGATGAGCCCGTTAAGAGCTGCGCTTGTCAAGGGCCCCCTCTCTGCCTGGTTCCGATATGCGTCCGAGCGGCTCACTTTGCGGCCGCGTTGATGCGACGGCAACGGCAACCGTCACGGCGGCCCGCCCGTGCGGTCAGGCATTAAGGAGGCCGTCGTATCCCGACGCTGACCCCATCCCTCGGCGGGGTCTCGATGAGATAATTTGACGTGCGCGGAGGTGAGGCTTTAATGCGACGGAGTAATGCATACATCGCGCTCATGAATAATGCAGTGGCTACGCGTCTCACTCGCGGTTTTGTTTTCATTTTGTCGGCCGCTTTGATGGCGGCGTTCGGCGCACCGCACAGTGGCATCTCGCGTCTGCTGCGGTTGTTGCTGTGGAACTCGATGTTTCTGCATTTAAAAACATTTAATAAGTCCATGCGTGCGCCGACGTTGTGCAATTATTACCGTTAAGCGCTCACACGTTTAAACTTTGTTCTAAATCCGCTGCTTGTAACAACGTGACGTGTCGCCGTTATGTTAATCTTCGAATTGTAATGTTTTCATTACAAAAAAGGCAGGGGGGGGGGGAAATCACACGTGTGAGCTGTAGCACTCGAAAGTGCCGGAAAAACGATAGACGCAGGCATTCGCTGCTGCAGCGCCATCTAATTCTGGCCTCAGTGCAGGTCAAGCCTACAACACCTGATATGTTCACTTGGCAGTATCCCATCCAAGCACGTAACAGGCTCACTCGCTGAACAGCTTCCCACGTCGAACGAGATCGCACAAATTAATATAACGTGCTTAGCGCAGCTTTCATCACCTCTTCAATGTAATGGCTTCGCTCACGTCAGGTGCACTCCATTCCCTCTCGGCGTGCACAGATGAACGAGTTTATAATGTAGTACGCGGGCATTAGTAATTGTGCAAGAAATGACAGCCCGTCTTTTCATTTTGGTGCTAAAAATCAACTTTCAGCAGGAACTAGAAGCGAACGAAGCGATTTTTAACCCCCTCCCATTACGGCCGTGTGCCCGGACAGTTCGCACGGCCCGAAGATCTACCCTCGTCACGAGTTAACTTCGCGAAATAAAAAAAACATCGGTCGGGGCGCTGCTGTTTGAGGCGTCGAGGATTTGGGGGAAATCCGGCGGCATTGGCGCTCGGCAGCCGCACTGCGAATCGTCGCTGCCTGAGACTCGCAGCTGTGTCACCCCCATCATGTGGGGAGCGGAACTCCCGTCCGCGCACAGACTTTCTCTCTCTCGCAACGACATCGGGCGATCGTGGCCATCCCTACACATCGATCGCTTGTCCATGATGTTTACTCAGGACCTCGTGTTGTTGTTGTCGCTCTGTGGACCGGGAGATCGACGATCGATGTTTGGTCGCTTCGTTGACGGCATTCGTCGCGATTTCTCACTAAACAACAA